TTTTTTCATCATAGATATAATTTTTATGATATATTGTGTAATGATTATTAATTTGTGCAAGTATTACATGAATTTCTTATTTTTTTTATAAATTAAAATCTAATTGTTTAATTTAATTTCTTTTAAAAATTTTTGGCATAAATCTTATTTGTGTTTGTTCAGAAAGTTTGATAAAAAGCTTGTTTAAATAACTATTTTTAAAAAAATTTAAATAAATTGGCAAAAGTTTAGATAGATATATTTTGTATGAATATAATAAATAGTAAAATATTTTTACCTGCGTATTTTTTTTTTTCTTTCCCAAGAAATTCTAATGTTACTTATAATTTTGGCCCCCCCCAACCTCAAGATCCTGGCTCTGTCCCTAGGCTTAGCGGTACAGGGCCCTTACTTTCCAAAGGGAGGTCAACCTCAGTAAAGGCAATGTGTGTGAGTACCAACTAGGAAAAAAACAAAAAATAAAAAATACGTGGAGTGTGGTTGATGATCCTTCTACCGACATCACGAGTTATTGAACGAGGAAATTGCAAAGTCAAATTGGTCAACAATTGGTTTTGGTTGAGTGACGAGGTGTGAACCTGAACTGAAATGCATTGTACTTTATTTCATACATGTGAAGCTTTTTGCTTGAGACCGGAGGTTTTTCCAATTGTTATATGATTTTTCCAGCTAGGTTTTCTCGCTAAAATTTAAGTGTCACTCTAAACTTTGCCTTTACATTACTTGCGTTTTCGATTATTATTTTTTTGATTGATTAATTTATTTTTATTTTAATAAATTTAAACTAAACAAAAATTAAATAAAAACAAATTGAATCTATTTACCACTCATAAATATTTATCCATGTTATATTCCATTATGTCAAAGAACTCAAAAGACATCGCCAAAATTGAATATTGCATGTTTTTTTAGTACTGCCACCAATATACGTGGCTCATACCAAAAGGTTTACTTGAAAATAAAAGATAAAAAATGGTATCTCGTATGGTGCACCGAAACAATTAATGAGAGATTATACTTACTAGTAACAAACATTACTATAACATGTTAAATGCACCTAACTTTAAACCTTTTGGTCAATGACAAATTATACAAGAAACTTAGGGCATTACGGACATCATTTCAAATCAGGTTTCGGATTGAGGGAGAGAGCCAGCAATATTCATTTTGAGGACGAAATTAGTAATATAAAATAATAGCGTGTCGAGCATTATTTTTTTTCCTGATTTAATTAACAAGTCATTTGGTGGTTCAACTCAATTAAAATTCTTGTTAAGATAGAGTTACAAAGTATTAAATTCTGATTGTTTCACTTGTTTTTAGTTAATTTTTTTTTTATTGGACTAGATCATATGTTCCACAGCATACAATTATAGAACTCAATCCTTAGAAGGTGATTGTCTGCAATTAATAATGTTAACGGTACAATGAATTTGGGTTCAAACAGCCAAACAGAACTCACAGTTATTTTTTATTTTTTTGCTTACATTTGGGTTCAAAACCCCTTTCAGCACGAGAAAAACTTTATTATTTGGGATAAATGTAGAAAACATTTTTAAAGTATATTTCGCCAGCTACTTTTACTTTCTACTTAAAAAAGTGTGTAAAAAATATTTATAATCTTTTTACATTGTGCAAAGATACCCCATCTAACATAAATTAATGATGTAATATCCGTTTTATCATTTTACTCTTCTGAAAATGCCTAAAGGGGTATATATGCTACTAATCTCATAGTATAGGGGTGTCATGTGCACATTTCCTCGTATATATATATTTTTGAATTTTTTTTTTTCTTATATATATCTCTAAACATTTAAAAAAAAAAAAAAAAAAAAAACTTTTAGAATTTGTAGAATAAATTATTTGAATTTTTTGAGATTCCAGTTTACTCTTTTATATTAATTTTTTTTCTTCTTTATTTTAGGCTCTGTTTGGTTATATGAAAATAACAAGAAAAGAAATGGAAAATGAAAATAAAAGAAATGAAAAATGAAAAGAAAATAAATAGAAAATAAAAAGAAAGTTGATATTCTAGTATGTATTCGGTTATGATGAAAATTTATTCAAAAAAATTGTAAGAAAATATCATATTATAGTTTGGATCCCTAAATTATTTTTATTTTATAAAATAGTAAAGAATTAATAATAGAATATATTAAAAAAATGATAAAGTTTTCAATTAATTTAGACCATCCGAACTACTGTTTTTCATATACGATGAAAAAAAATAGGAATGGAAGTCAAATTAATTAAAACTTTATTAATGATAAAATTGTTGGTGGACTCTAATTCATTGAAACCCAATAAAAAATTGTTATTGTCTCTAAAGATGAAGTTGTTGAGTAAAATAATATCAATGAAGTTATTGGATAAAATAGGAATACTAAATAAAAAGATGATACTTTCACGGGAATATAAAATTTCCCTATGCTTTGTGCAAGAAATGTTTCAGAAAAAATAAAGGTTCACAAAAATCTTATTTTTGTACCAAACTATAAAAAAATTTCTATTTTCTTTCAGCCTTATTATTATTATTTTTTTGTACCAACACTGTTAAACAAAATAATAATAATAATAAATAAAAATCTCAATATCAATGTACACTAGTTTTTGGGGTTTGGAAAATTTTTGTTTTCTTTAGTTAGACTTTATTTTTGTTTTTTGTTTTCTATTTTTATCTGTACTTTTCTTTATACTTTTATTTTTATTTTATATTTTTATCTTTGTTTGTCCATTGCCGGCATCCTCCAATAGTGTTATTTTCAGTCATTTTATAAAATAGTTCAATAGGGGTAATTTAGTCAACGGTTTAAATTTGTCAGACGTCCCTATTTGCACCATATTGAAATTTTATGGGTGTTTTTTTACACAAGAGGGGCATCCTTCAATAGTATCATTTTCGTTCATTTTACAAAATTATTTATTTTTATATATTTTATAAAATAGTTTAGTAATAGTAATTCAGTCAACTTATGATTTAAATTTATGAAGGGATATATTTACACCAAATTGAAACTTTAGGGATATTTTTTGCATGTGAAGGGTGTGATATGCATTGTAAGCATACTTTTGAAATTTTTTATACACTTAACTTTTATTATTTCAACTATCAATCAATTATATTATGTCACATAAGTAAAAGTAATTTATTTAGTAGCTGCTATCATGATAATATTTAATAAGCTAGTAATACTATATTATCAATACAACGGGCACAGTTAAATTTTTCTCTCGATTGCATAACGCTTGATTTTTAATAATATTTATTATTTATTTTTTTTGAAAAGTTGGGTTTTTAATTTAAGTCACATAAAAGCGGGAGCAAGTGCGAGAGTGCGAAAGCGTCAAAATTTAAATTTCTTTTAAAGCAAGAGCTTTTTGAAAGCGTCTGTATATTAGGTTTAAATAAAATTATATAAGGTTATGACATATATATTTTGTATTTTTTTTTAATTTATTTAAATACATATACAACTATATTCATTATTTTTTATTCCATTAATGATATATATAATAAATAAGCTAATTTTTCTCACTAATAGATATGCCATTTATTTGTAATATTTTTCAATTGAAAAGTTTTTTAATGGTATATTTTCAAATATGTATTATATATATATATATATATTTATATATATATATATGGTAGTATATCAATATTATATAGTTTGGCATACATGCCGTTTAAGTAATTAATTTATATATTAAGTAATAATGTAATTTATAAATGTATATATGGTAATATAAGTATTTTGTATTTGTAATAAATTTAATTGTATAAAGTGAATTTGTATCGAAATTGTGAATTAAAAAAACATATTGGTAAATTATAAAAATTAAATTCACGAATTTGGTGTGAATTTGTTCTCAAATTGCAAATTCGCGGAGCTTGTGGGCGGGCCACTTTGAACGAATTGTTTGACTAAATTTCTTATAGCACGGGATTGACATAAGTTTGTGCAGGCCGGATCCGCTTTCCGGGTGGGCAGCCCATATCCAATTTAGCTTGTTCCACCCAGTACATACACCTCTGACAACCACCACACAACACTTCTTTATCTTGATGTACTTTGCACCAATGTACTTTTCTTCTCTCTCTCTCTCTCTCTCTCCAAACAAAACCAGTTACTTTTCATTTTGAAAGAGCAGATCTACTCTCGTCTCTCTGTTTCTTTTCTTGTTTCTTTCTTCCCCGCCCAACGACCTAAGGTATGTTGATTTTAAAACTCCATTTATTCAACACTCCTTTCACATTCTCGCTTTCCCTAAAATTTTCTTCTCGTCCTCCTCACAATCCTTAAAATTACTCATTTTGAAATTCTGATTTCTCACATTTGATCCGTATGATATTGGTTTTTTTAGTTTAATTTGTATGGGTTTGATCTGATTTCCCATTATTTATTGTTTTAGAAGAAACAATTATTTGATCTTTGTTTTTGCGTTTGTATAATTACTGTTTTTTTTTTTTTTCTACAACGTCACACTATTTCTTATTAGCAGAAAATTTTCTTAAAGTTTTTTTATTTTTATTGTTTATTTTTATTTTTAAACCATTATTTTTTTCTTAGCAGAAAAATCTTAGGTTTAGGTTCGGTGGATGAATAAGATCTAAGGAGTATGATTTAGTGTGCCAGCTGTATCTACTGTTTTAGGTGGTCCCGGTCGAATACTGAGAGCCCTAGGCGACCTCATCTAACCCTAGGGTCTGTCGGCTGGGCTCTCGTTTGACTGACACCACTGGCGATGTATGAGCACAATTAGGTTTAATATTTAAAAAATAATAATAATAACTATGATTTATTCTGGCTCTATGTACGGGGTAGTATATACTAGTATTTTTTTTTCTTGTACGGTAATAACTATGTAATATATATAAACAAATAAAAATGCAAATTATATATATATATATATATATATATATATTTTTTGCAATCTATAATTTTTTAAGAAAAAATATTAATTAAAAATGTGAAAAAATTTAAAAATAGAATTATTCTCTTCCTTATAATCCTTTACAATGGTCTATAAAGTAAATACTTAGTTATGCAATTTAGTTTTACCGAAATTAAATACAATAATTTTTAAAAAATAGAAAGAAGCATTACTTATCTTGTAATTTTTAATAGTATATCAATTAATTAATTATTAATTATTAATATTTGTCGCACGTTATTTAGTCCTATTGTAGGTGGGAGACTTTTTCTCTATTAACTCATCCTCTTTTGACCATATCTCTTCTCCCCTCTCTCCAACTTCTCCCATCTCCCTCAAACGCCATCTTCTTATACTTCTTTTTGCATCTTGTATCTATGATTTTCTCTCAAACACCATCTTTCTCCACATCTTGTTTCGGAGATTTGAGTCTATATCGTCTTGGTATCGATGGTTTTTGTTTTCTTAATTTGAGTCCGTTTCGTAATCTTAGGTTTTCTTATTTATTTTTTCACCAACCGAACGGATGGTTTTGGTTTGTGTTTCTATGATCAGTTTTTATTTCTTTGTTTTTGTTTTTCATCTCGAGATAGATTTTCAAAAACTCAAATCAAACCTGTACACTTCAAAGCTCTTCTATATTGAAGACTAGTTTTGCATATTTGTACGGTGGTGATTTGGAATTGGTGATCGGTTGCATGTAATTGGTCCCTTAGAATTGAAATTGGAGAAATTTAAATTTAGTACCTAAATTTCTCCAATTTCAATATTAAGGCACCAATTGGCTCATAGGGCTCCAAAGACCATATACGAAGATGCCAGCCAACAAAGATATAGCCATGGCTCAATGGCTCAGAATTGGACCGATTAGAAGTCCTTCAAGCTCAATCCGATTAAAATTAAATCAGTCTTGGCACACCCTCGAGCCCAATCCGACAAAAATAAAGGCACACCCTCAAGCTCAATCCGAGAAAAAATAAGGCACACCCTCGAGCTCAATCCGAGAAAAATAAAGTCAGTCCAGGTTAGTTTTAAACGAATTTTATTTATTTTTGGCTCAAACCCAAAACACTTTCACATTCTATCCTGTGTCCAAACAACCCTTCCTCAACCTTACTTATACATTATATATTAGATATTGTTAGGGTTTATACTGAGAGAAGGGATAATGGGGCTCTTCCTACGAAGCAGAAGGTATTCTCAACTTCTCATTTCTACATCGACGATGACGATCTATTATGGTAAGTTCATCACCCAGATCAATCAACTCTTCTCATTCTTTTAGGGTTTGTAATCAAATTTACGTCCCTGGGTGTTTTTCAGGCAGAAGAATGAGCACCAAAGTAGCTTCAGCTGTCATTTCTTCTCCAATTCACGATGGTAAAAGGATTCTCAAGATGCATGATGGGATGTTGAAATGGACTAATTCACTTCATGACGCTATTTTTAACCGGCATGATGTAAGTATCAAAAGGATTCTTGCCTTAAACCTAGTTCTTGTTTTTTTTTTTTTTTTTTTTTTGAAGATAAATTACTATGATATGAACTTTGCACTGTCCTTCCTACCTAGATTCCTTTATTTATTTATTATTTTTTATTGTGAATTAATTTTGGTACTCATATATCCAAGAGCTAGGACTAAGTTTAATGATCTCTATGAAAGAGTAAGAGACATTTTTGTAACTATTAAGCATGTACGGTTTTCTTATATTTTTGTCTTTTCATTCTTAACACCTTCGTTATTATCGCGTTCTTCTTCCTGTATGCTTTATTATTACAATTTTTTTTTACCAAAAGCAAGAAATTATATTATTGTGATATACTAGCTTTTTCAATTGCTGGATTTCCCCACACCCTGACAATTCCAGCATAGTATCCTCATTGATCGATTGGGGGCCACTTAAGGCTGGCCACCTCTACCTCTACCTCTACCTCTACCTCTGTTAAATTTGTTCTGTATCCAAGGGATGGCTTCACACTTGCACACTCTTGTTTGATGATCAAGGTAGTGCAGATGGAGGTTTATTTTATGGAGACAGTAGAAAGGAATCAAGGATAGCCTACTAAAATGGTATTGGTCATAAACAATTTAACTGGTCCTTACCTTGGTTCTGTCCGGAATCATCACATTTTCCATGAGATTTCTCTGTTCTGGAAGCACCTCTTTGTTGGAAAAATGGTAAATTATGTGTCCAATTGCTCCTCAATCTTCTAAATGAACTTCTATGCCCCTCTACATTTATATGTTTTTTCATTTCTTTGGTAGGCAACTGGAGTGCCAGAAACTCGTCCAGTTGTTGCTGACCGCATAACTCAATTTGCTGGTGGTTCTTGTCCAGGTGGAGTGCCAGAAACTTGTCCAGGTGGTTGTGTTAGTGCTCTACGTGGACAATTTATAGCTTTGCCAATATGTATGTGTGCGTGTATATAAATGTATCTTCTCTGCAAATCTTGAGGATGCGAGTTTTTGAGTTCTGAGCACAATTACTCTGAGAAATTAATATCGTAACTTTTGTGCCCAGTCCATCCCTCCTCCCTTTCAGTACCCTTGATTGAATGGGAACCAACAACCTATACTGATATCTGAAGTGTATACTCATTTTAGCTCCTTGGTTTGTCTTAACTTCTCCACAATGCTGTCACTCGGCATTCTGAGATAATTTTTTTAAGGCGTTTTTGTTGTCCTGCATAGTAATCTCTTTATGCAGCCACTTTTTAAATTGTGTTCTTTATTGGTTGGCTAACAATGTGCAATGGGCTTTTGTTTGATTATCTATTTAAATCTGTTTTTAAGTGGAAATATTGATCATCGTACTTGCTGTGTAGGCAATGAGGGGCGTGAATATTTTCTGAGGCGTATTCTTAGCCGTGCTGTACGTTATGGGATGAGAGTCAAAATTTTCAGTGGGTAGGAATGACAAATTTGCCTGCATCTTGTGATTATTCACTGTATATGTATCTGTTATAGTTTTGTGTTGTAATTTTAATTGTGTTCTTTTTCTTGCATAAAAAATTATCTTAGGGTCAATTTGGATATTTAAGTTCACATCTGTTATTCCTAGTACCCATATATCATTTTGATTTCTATTTTGTTAATAACTATGTGGAAAGCAGGCTCGTAAACATTGTGGTGAAAGTGATGGGTGATGTTTTTCCAGAGCTGAAACAACATGAATTGCACACCAGGGATACAATTGAAGACAAGGAAGCAAGTTTTGGCAAGACCTTTCTTCATGTAAGAACTTTGTATTTAAAATTATCATATGTATATACATATATTATGCTTGGCAGTTGTAATCTTATATGCTGTGCTGTTCTTAAACAATGAAACACTTCAGAAAACTTAGTTGCAGACATAATCAGTCGGGTTGAGTCAGTTAGTGGAGTAATTTCTAAATGTTGAGACTACCCTTAAGTGAGGTAAAATGACTTAAATGACCTTATTAGTATAACAAATGACCATTTCAACTAATTTTATTTGGACAAGACTACCTTAGCTTATATTAACACAACGTACTCGGGTTTTTTCCTCTCTGATTTTCAGAAAGTCTCACATATCCTCTCTATCGCTCTCTGGTTTTCTCCTCTTTCCCTCTCTGATTTATACACTTCGATTGTTGAAGAGCCTTCATCACATGAAATCAATTGAAAAACTAACCAAATCTTGACAAACTACCCAATAAAATGCCTGACTGAAAAAAAAAAAAAATCCCTTTCTTAATTACCAAAATCATATTTCCAATTGATAAGATTTTAACGATCTCTAAACATCTTTCAACTATGGCATATTCAGCATCAAAAAACAACTATCGTGTTTTAAGTTTTTTAGATCAAGCATTTTGGTGGCTTCGACGGTGGAGGAGGAATTTGAATTGCCCTCTGAGATGTGTTTGATATACAGGTAGTAGTAGCAGTAGAGCAAATACGTAATACACAGAGAATACATTAGCTTTAGGAGGGCAGAAAGTTAATTTGGATCTCTTTTGATGACATCAGCCAACACATGCGTTTCAGAAGTTTTTTAGTGAGGGTAGAATGGTACTTTCACTGCTGCTGCTGTTAAGCGAACTAACGGGATTCTCTGACGGGGTGTCACAGAGAATATTGAAGTAGTTTTATTCGTAGGTAATTTGGACAAGCCTCAGTGGAGGTCAGGGTAATTCACCCTATTATATAATTCTTTAGACCAGGGAGGTTTCGGTAATTCACCCTATCTCCACAAAATGAACCTCTTTTGCAGGCAGAGACCTTTTGTGTGAAGTATAAGTTTGTGTCTTATAAACCTTCGTTTGATGTTTGGTTTTGGACTTTTAAGTTTATTAAATTCTTTGCGTTAATGTCTAGGTTCTGGATTTAGTTTCGTAAATTTTGGATTTGAGAACTGCCATAATATACAAAAACTTGTTCCGAATTTTTTAAACGGGAGTGTAGATAGAAGTAAAATAAATGCATGGAAGAGAAGAATAAAGAGAACAAGAGAATTCAGAAAGAGATTATGGCTAAAGGTGCATAGATTCACTTAACCAACCATAATGTCTCTGTCTCTGCTTTCACCAATTCTTCCCAGCTAATTGGCTGACGGAAGTTTAAAATGATTTTTCTATGTTATCTCTTGAATACACCCTAATTAAAAGCTTGCTTGGGTTGTCAAGAGAGCTCTCGCCATATTTTTCTTCCCTTTAGCCATTGGATGAAGTTTATAAGGGTTTAGAATTGACAGGTCATAAATGTTAATAGGATGATGTAAGGCTAATAGTCAAAGACTCCGGAGATCTTTCATCTTGCTGAAGAAAGAGGCCCAAGTTGTGGTGTGAGATAAACTTTTTGTGCAACCACGTCACTAGTGTTGTTAAAGACGTGCCTAAACTCGAGGCGCAAGTCTAGCGCCTTTGTCATCCCAGGCGCACTTATGTGTACTAGGCGCACGCCTTGGTTGTGTCTCGTCCTATTTGTCAGGCGCGCCTCACTATTTTTTCAATTGATTATTCTATTTCTTAAGCCAAAAAGGGTACTTTTAGCAAATTAATAACCAAATAAGAAAGCCTAAGTGAGAAGGAACTTTTGTTCAAAAGAATAAACAAATAAGAAAGCCCGAGGGTGTCAATTCAATATGGAAAGAGTGAGACTGTGAGACGAATGATGAAGCCATACTTGTAGAGACGAACGACGAAGCCATGTCAGTTCTTTCGTTTTATTCTCTCTCTTCTCATCTCTGTTTACTTCTTTCTTTTGTTCTCCTCTCTCTGTCTTATTTTTTTTTTTTGGGCTCTATTTTTCTCTCCTTTTAACACTTTCTCTTCTCATCTACTTCTCTCTCTTCATCTACTTCTTTCGTCTCTGCATTTTTTCTTTTCTTTTTTTGTTAATAGATTTATTTCTTTTTGTACTCTGTTTTGCCTTTCAAAGGAAAACAAATTCCGTTTTGCCTTTCAAGAAAACAAATTTGTGATCTGTTTTATGGTTCTTGAAATGCTTAAATGGTTGATGTATTCACTTTTTTATATTTGATATTAATTTTTAGAATATTGATACGACTTATGAGATATGAATGCTTTTATGGAAGTTTAAAATTTCAATTGTGCGCCTCACTTCACTCGGGTGCGCGCCTCGCCGAGCACTTCACGCCTAGGCTCCAAAGGAGGACCTCTAGTGCCTTGGTGCGCCTTGAGCCTTATTAACACTGCTAGAACCAAAATTGTATTGTCGAAACTTCATGGACCACTTAACAGGATTCTCTGAAAATCAAAACCTGTTGGAAAAACAAACTGAAAAGTGTTGAAATCCACCATAAGAACCTCCAACTGTTCACATGCCCACAACTCTCTGAGCATAGACTGGAGGCCAAACAGATTGACCTGTTTCGTCATGACTTCCTGTCCAATGAAACTAGACGAACAGGCCACCAAGCCCTCCTTAATGTCCGACTCCACCACCTGTATCCCCTCTCTCTTCTTCTGTCAATGAAAAACATTGGATCTGAGTCACAAGATCGTCTTCCATTGCAGTAAATAATTCACTAAGCAAACGAACAAAAAAACACTGTCAAGACCTACACGTGGTAGATGCCAAGAGGAAAACCGCCACCCTCAGATGTTAATATTGGATGATAGAATTATCCTTGCTTTATTTTTACGTCAAGAATGTCCTGCCCAACATCTCAGATATTCATTTGTTGTATTATTATTTTTCAATTTTCTAAAATTTTGTAAACTCTTAAGTAACTTAATCATATACCTTTTAGTTCAATTCTCTCTTCCGATTATTAAGGCCAAGCATTTGACTCGCTAAATGAGAAGTTTGTACAAATACTTGAATTGTTTGGGCAAGATAATGGAATGCTGACTGCACATAAATCCTCCTTGGGAACTCTCAAGTACATCTTTGAAAAATCTAAAGCAGTATATTACGATTTGAGCTATTTAGGCCTATGTAAGGAAGGGCAAAGGGAGAGAGACGGAATATTTTTAATGTTGTTAAGTTGTATTTTGAGCTTGTTCAGTTGTTCCTTCTAAAGCTCTATATTCTATTTCTTACATTGTGAGCTACATTCTTTTGTTTTGTTAATCAGACTTTATATTCTAGTCTCCAATCAGCAAGAACTGTTCCCCCGCCGACAATAGAAGCTTATGATCAATATTTGGAGCTCCTGGATATGTAATGCAAGCATAGATTGTTCTTTTCACTTATTTGAACACAATATGCAATTTATTTATTTATTTATTTTGCATTTGTGTTATTTGTTGGTAGATTTCTGTTAAGGTGCTATATACGATTTGTGGTTCTATGCATGATAGATACGTATGCACGTCTTTATGAGACAGTGATTCTTTTGCATAATGATTGTTCTTTTTTCGCAAATAGGTGAATCAATTATGTATGTTATTCTCCTAACATCTGTTTGTGTTGTCGTGTAGCTGCTCATAATCGTCGTCGTCGTTTTCGCCCTCCGTCAGTCATTTATTTTCACCACATTTCTTTTGCTCGGGGTGGATACTTGGCTATGTTGATAAAACTTGACCAATTTGATCCACGGGATCGTTTTGATATCCCATCCTCAGAAAGGGTGGGTAAGAAATATATGACTGTCTCTGATTTTATGCAATGGACTTCAAAGTTTCGTTCGGCCATGGATATGTATGGGATTTTTGATCATTGTGGGAAAGAAGTTATTATAGTGGTTGGGTCTGCTGGAGAGCTGCATTCACTTTTGACGAGTGATATACGGCTGTTGCCTTTTTCTCTTCCACCTCCAGGATGGAAGTTTCTCAATACAGATGGAGCCTATAGACAAGGGAAGGGGGCCGGGGGCTATTGTTGTCGGGATCACCTTGGTGATGTAGAATGGCAATATTGTTTCGAGATAAACGAGCATCAGATGAGGTCTTTTGCATGGGTCAGGGGAACAGAAGCTTTTGTAGCCGAAGCCCTTTGTGTCATTGTGGGTTCACGGACTGCACTTCGTTATGGAATTAAATGGTTATTCGTCTACAACGACTGCCTGGATTTGGTAGAATTGGTCAATAAGAAAAGAGAACCACGTGGCTGGGAGTGTTTACGCCCGTATCGGGTTTTAGTCAGGTTTGCATTATTTGCTTATAGCTTTATATACATATTTAACATTTAATGTTTATTATTATTGTTTTCTTTTTGGTTTGTAGTAAAATAATTAGCGTGCAATTGGCTTTCAAACCCGACGGCGAGATGATATTGAGCCATGTGAATCGGGAGTTGAATACCGTAGCGGATTTTCTTGCTGGAGAAGCTATCCGAGGGAGAACGAATCAATATGATCGAGAAGAGGTTAAGCGTCTCGCTGCTTTAGATTTGGAGGAGGGAAGTCGATGGATGTTTAGACCTTTGTAACAAAACTTCTAGATTACTTTTGTAGAAGTTTGTCTTGCCAGGCTTAAATAGTTAGAAATTTAAGGTTCTGAAAACTTCTGTCTAACAAATTACTGTCATAGTTTGAGCTCTGATTAATTACAGTATTGCAGTAATCACATTGCCCCATTGTGAACGTTAAGTTTGTATGAAATGACAAATATACCCCTCTAATATAATCTGAAATTTAAATACAAAATAATTGTTATTTTGCAGATTACAATTGTAACCTTGGGGAGGCAGCAAAACGACCAAAACACCCCTGACCCCTGATCTTCTTCTTCCTCTTAAAATTCCTCTTCACTCTCTCTCTAGAATATTGAACATAATCATGATTCAATTACAATGACCAATGGTGGGAGCGGAGGATGTTGAATGATTAAGGAGTTACGTCCACCCCCCCCCCCCCCCCCCCATATCTCTCTCTCGCTTGTGTAGTTCTTCAACAGATTGTGGGACAATCGAAGACTAGTCTTCAGAACAATTGTTCGCCGGAGAAGAAATAAATTGACGATAACTGATTCGGCAAACGCGCTCCCAGTTTTAAATCTTATGATTGTCGTTGATCACTTCCCAGAAAAAGAAAAAAAAAAAATTGTGTCTCAAATCCTATGCTTCATTACTCATTTGTTTGGTCTCCTCTGTTTTCTTAGAATTTGTTGATTCAGTGTCGCAATAAATCATCATGTAGTTTCCAAAACCAAGCAAAGATCAGAGAGGCGGTTACTAAAAAATGGACATCATGTATCTTCGGCTGAACCAAAAATCACTGCATACATCATTATAGAAGTCATATGGATTTTTGTGTTCTTGGTACCATACTTGAGAAATTGGAACTACATGTTCTGGATCAACATATGTCGCCTGGAGATCTTCGAAGTTCTTCGAATGTTTGTGATGAACCAATCAGGTCTGGTATTGTATGTATCAATTTGAACAGCAGGATCAGCGTGTGATGAGGAGTAACTACCCGTGGACGAGAGTGGTGAAATTGGGATGCTCATGATGCCTTCTGGCTTTGAAGCTTATGTGACACTAGAAAATGGAAGATTGGTTCCTGAGAGAGAGTATTGCAGTAAGATTCTCATCCTCTTTTTGCGAAAGAATCAGCGCCGGCGATGGCGCAACGGACGACTTCGATTTGATGTTCTTTAAAGGTGTGGTTTCGATTTGGAGGATCTACTGAGTGCTTCGACAAATTAACATAGAGAGCAATTTGAGAGAAAAACAGGAAAGCCTCATGATCTAGTTTCAACATCGTCAAACTCCTTGGACGCCAGCGAGAGCTCCACAACCAATTTCTATTCATTTCAGTGACCCAACCGATTGGTGCACCCTCATGATCCAGCGGTAAATCGAAAAACTTTAGTCCGGTGAGCCTTTTAGAGAAATAAAGCATCAAAATCCACCAGAGAAATGGATCAATCAGAGGACTTAGATCACAACACAGAGCCAAAAAGTTGACCATGCACTCAAATTGACACCAAAAAAATCAAAGCAGAGTAAATCGCAAGACTAGTACAAGATCCTGACACCTAATAAAGTGATCAAGCTGATCAAAGTGGCACAAAATCAAGAATTTACAATACAAATTCAATATCTATCAAGTACAAACCCTATCTCTGAACCCAAAGTGGAGAGAAGAAGAGTATAAAGTGAAATGAACCAACTTTTTTTTGGGCAAAAATCTTAACGCCTCTGGATTCAGAGAAAAAGGAATTGGATCAAAGATGGATCCTTGCACACACACGCTTATATATATATATAAAGACAGTACACACAAGCTTATATATATATAAACAGAGACTAAAAGGAAAGGGTGAGGTGGGGGTATTTCAGGTAAAAAAAATTGTGATGAGCATGTGTTGGTCACTCTCCAAACCGGCAGGTAAACGGATTTGAACAAAAATGAAAAATGTGACGCGATTTATAGTTGAGGGGGTGTTTAATTTTACTTTTTAGATGAAAATGATAATACAAGGTGAAAGGAACAACTTAAAAAATCTTAGTAGAGAGCAACATATAAAATAAGCCATTGACTCATAAACTATCAAGTCCACTAAGATATAAATAAATTATAATTATACCAAAATATATAAATAAATAAATTGAAAATAATTAGCGTTGGTGAGTTGGGCTTGGTCATTGACTCCTAGTTGAGGACATTCCCGCCAAAGAAAGAGACAGTTGAAAGTTAAATCAAATGGGCAATTTCGTCCTTTAGCCAACAACAATCAGTTGAGAGTATGGTTCGCCGAGACTCGAGAGTAGATTCATTTTGCCATTGAGAGCTGAGACAATACCAATGTTTCAGGCCAAAAAGTGCCTTTCTGTCATTTATCAATCGAATCAAATCCCTCTTTCTCTATATATGTATATGTATATATTATTCAATTTAATACTATATGAAATGGACTCGGCCACAGTTTGCTTTGATCATCACATAGCGACAGCCAAAGATTGGCCGGCAGCTACTCCATGAAAAGCCGGCTCTCTCTCTCTAAAAAGTGATACGAATTTCAATGAAATTGTTTTCGGGATCATTGTTGATATTTCGCGGGTAAAAGAATATGTTATTACATCAACTTCAGAGGCGTGTATTGAAAGATGATCTGAAAACTCAGTCTCACACTTTCTTCTACAAGTTTTTTCATCTATTTGTTGGACTTGTACATACCGTGTTTCAGAGTTTTCTTATTCATTACTGTAAGTCCCCTCTCTCCCTGTTAGGTCTTCTCGAACACAGTCGCTCTCTCATCTGCCTTTTCAACTTCTTTGCTTTTTGTAAATTAGAATTGTTTGAATTTCTGTGATTATATACTTCGAATTGTTTGGAATTTCTGTGATCAATTTGATGATTTAAGTAGGTTTTTTTTTTTTTAGTTTCTGTTTCATGTAGAACTTATGTTCAGTATGATTTTGACTTCTTATATTTGTTTGAATCGCAGGTCAATGAACTAGTTCTATATATTAAAAAAAAAAAATGTATGAATTAGGGTTTTTAACTTCTTCTTTTTTTCCAATTTAAAACGATGATTTTCAATTTAAGTGATATATTTACTTACATGAACTGAGCTCTAGTAATTGAGCTTTGTTTTGGATTCCTGTGAGTAAATACTTAGAATTGTTAGGATTTCTGTGGTTAATTTGATAATTTTAGTCCGTTTCTTTTTCCCCATTTGCATAGTTTCGTTTTATGTAGAGCTAATGTTCAGTATGAATTTGACCTCTTATATTTGCTTGAAACGCATAAAAGTTAAGTAGACCTATCAAAGAAAGAAGAATGAATTAGGGTTTTTATTATTATTTTTCTCCCAATCCGAAACATGATTTTCAATCTCAGTGATGTATTTGTATGAACTGTTTGTTAAAGTTAATTTTGAGCTTCAGAAATTGAACTTCTTTTTCTATTTTGCGCCAGTTGTCAATGAATCAGTATAGTGGTTTTGGTAGAAATAAGCAGACGACGTATGATTTCACATATCAGGAACAGATCAATAACATAAAGAAAAAGTTTCAACATTAAGTGGGAACTCATTTGCTAGGATCAACTTCAGGAAGATGGCTGGAAATTATAGGTTTGCAATGGACCAAAAGGATATTGTTAGATTCTTGAAAACCACTGTTGGAAGTTTCATCCAGGATCAGTTAATCAATAAAGAACAGAGAATACAACAGAAGGAACAATGTGCAGAGAGATTAGCAGCTGAAGATGGAAGCTCCGATATTGATACAGAAGTCCGGTACTCTGATCAAGCTGTGTTAGCGACTTCGGATTGGGAAATCGATGCCCTCGAAGAAGCAATCGACACATCCAATGTGGAAACGAAGCTTGCAAGATTAGACCATGCAGAGAAGATGCTGCAAGTGTGTGCAATGTTTTATTCTAACCAGAAAACCGCAGGAGTTCCTAATTTTTATCTCTCTGCTTGGGCCCATCTTAACCTTGCATACCTGTGGAAATTGCGGAACAACGATCACAATGCAGTTATTCGTGTTCTCGAGATGTTCATTGTTGACCCATTCTTTTTGCGGATTGATTTTGCTCCTGAGCTCTGGAAAGATCTGTTTCTTCCACACATGAGCTCCATTGTGGGGTGGTATTCAGAGGAGAGAAACAGGCTTGTGATGGATGTAATTCCTGACTCCACTGGTTTGTCTTTCACTGTGGATTTTGATCAGTACTTCAATGAATCTTTGATCTTTTCTATGAGGCCAGATCAAGTGGAGAAAACACAGAAATTGGAGCAACTTTATGGGCAATCATTGGATTAGAATACAAGGATTTATGCAAAGTACTATAAGGACTACATGAACTACGATTCAGCCACTAGCAAGAAGGTGTTGCCCATGTTGCCTATGATTCCTTTGAACGAGGTGAGTCATTCGATTCCTGATTATGTAAAATTTGGTCCTATCTTGCCAAAGAGTGCTGGGTTTACTCCAATCCTCAAACCTAAAGAGAATGCAAGAGAATATTCCAGGTTAATTTCATCTCCTAACTGCTTTGGAGTTTTCATTTTGACCATGTAAATACTTTTAGCCATTTTTTGGTCATCTCAAATCTTTTCCTTTGTTTCTTTTGACCTTTCTTTTAGATTCATCTTATATTTTAAATGATTTATGGGGAAAAACCTTCTCATTTGAATGAAGGCTCTGATACCTGTATATTCTTTCAAACATTTGTCTCCATGCAGGTTGAGTGTAACTTCTACATCCTCACACAATCCGGAGGAGTCTGCCATATGGAATCCACAAGTGTTTGTCAGTACATTTATCGAGCTTGACTTTGGATGTATTCTTGGTTTATTGCTTTATACCCTTTATATCATTTGTAATTTTTGGAATAACTAAAGCTCGTTTCTTGGTTCTCCTTATTAGGAGGGCATCCCTGAGGAAAATGCAGATGATTGTGACAATGAGCATCATTCACATTTGGATTCTGAAGATAGAGCACACAATGTAGTGTCGCCTAACAGCATCAGAACAAATAAAGGTGTAGAAACTCAGCCAAACATACAGCCAACAAAAGCGAAGAGTCAAATGCATTCTCCTAAAATTTTCTCTCCTATTGATTCCCCTAAAACTCCTTCCCCAAAAGGTTCATCTCCAAAACCAGGCATGCATTATAAAAAGGAACCCACGTCTCTATTGCGTCTCAATTCCATGGTAGATTCCACTATTTCTAGCTCTTTGCACGTGTCTTCACACTTGTGCAATGATTCAAGCAGTAGCTCAGCAGATTCAGATGGTGAAATGCCGGTATATTTCAGAGTTATTTACTTGAGCTTGTTTGAATTGTTTCACGTT